CTTACCAGAAATTATTTTCTGTGTTGAAAAATTACGACTTCCTAATATCTTCAAGTGCTTATTCTATCAAGGCAACAGTTCGACAAAGATTTAATTTACAGTAATGTAACATATCACGAGAAGATGCAAACCCTGATATATCAAAGGCGCAAACAAGGAAATGTGAGGCTTACAAACTGACACCATCAATGCATCCATCAACAACCTGTACATATAGCTATAGTTACCGTTCACTACTGCTCTTAAGATCCACCTGCAGCCTTTGAATGTTTTTAAATCGAGAATCTTTAAATGTGTGTTCACTTTGTTCTTTGTTTATTAAAATCACACCTTAAATCATCTTGCTCCATTTAGCGGATGCAGGTTATTATGTGCTCAAGCAGAAACATGTAGGAGCTGAAAGTCCTTTGAAGTTATTACACATCAGACTTATAACCTGAACCAAAACTATGTTTTTCCTTCAAATGAATGAACTGCAAAACACTTTAAATTATTTTGTCATCATGTGACTATGGAATAAAGTTACTACCTGATGGGTCTCTGCACGTCATAGAAACAGCTAGCACTCCTTCTTGTGCTCAGTGCCAAGCATACATAGTGGGAGCATTGTACAGTGATTAAGGTGACTTTAGGGAATATTAACAGCGCTCATCACCCACCCACTGAACCATCACCGTGACTATAATCACAGGAGAGAACACATTCGCATTTCTGGTATTATCTCTGTAATAGCACCCACCATAAAACCTCCCAGGGAAATCTCAACATGTCAGTGCAACAAAATAGATCACAGTGACACAACAGGAATGACCAAGAACTTTACATCCCCTGGGAGCCAAAGAGCCAGATTTCTGTGGCAGTCAATGGCTACGCTCTGTAATCCCAAGAGGATGGTGCCAAGAGTGGGGCGCGAGAGGAGAAAGCGTAGGAGGAAGAGGATCTTCACAAGCCACACTGAAGCAGCTGGTTCTACATCCGAGGCAGACTTGCCGGGCATACGTAATCCTCCGGCCTCTCTGATGCACACAGAGTGTAGCTCAGGCAAAAAAGGCACCATGTTTAAAAGGCACATGTCATCTATTAACATTAGGGGTGCAACGATACTCGTATCGATATTGAACTGTT